GTAGGATTTATATTTTCAAATTAAGGCCCCTAAATTTCAGCATCATCCGATTTCAGCATCATCCCCGACATTTAATATAAATATAAAGTTTTGATACTTCTGATTTAAATAATAAAAGCAGGATCACCAAAAAAAAAAAGATAATATTAAAAATTAAAAGAAGAAAAAAAAAACTACTAATTAAATAGATTAATAGACAATATATTTGTCATCTAGAGAAAATCTGCAAATTTTTATAAATAAATTTTACTATTGAACCAAATGTGAAGTACTTCAATATAAAACTTTTTTTTACTAAATAAATCACTTTTAGGCTTCTAACAAAAGTTGTAGAGCTCATCAAGATGCATCTAATATTAATAAGAACATTAAAATCAGCTTTGTAGTTCTTAAGAAATTTTTAAAAAATATTTCACTGATATATAAAATTTTTTTAAAAAAAATTAAAATTTTATATATCAGTGAAATATTTTTAAAGATTTCTTAAGAACTACAAGGCCAATTTTAATGTTCTTATTACTATTAGATACATCTTGATAAGCTCTACAACTTTTGTTAGAAACCCAAGAGTGATTTATTTAGTAAAAAAAAATTTAGAATAGAGTGCTTCATATTTGGCTCAATAGTAAAATTGACTTATAAAAATTTGCAGATCCTTTTTAGATGACAGATATATTATCTATTAAGTAAACAAAATTCATATAGTATTAGATATAAGCAAAAGAAAACTTATATATAATATATATAATAGCAAAAAAAACAAGAATCAAGAATTAAAAAAGAAAAGAAAGATATACTACTTAAAACAGTAGAGAGAATCTTAATAAAATTATTTAAAAATTAAAAAGAATATATCAAAATTTAAAAAAAACTCCTTAGAAGAAGTTTAGTATAAAAAAAAATTTTAAACCCAAAAAAAAAAAAGACCCAAAAATAAAAAAATCAAAAAGAGTACTAGGAAAATTAGAAAAAAAGAAAGCTCACAGAAGAATACTTTTAGAAAGACTTGTAAAATAAATAATTTAAGAAAAAAAAAATTTTTAAAAATACAGAATAAAAGAAAAATATAAGGAAAAAAAAGATATTTAAAAGCCAAATCACCTTCTAGTAAAGATAAAATAAATTGAAAAAATAAAGAGGTTCAAACACAAGTAAATAAAATTTAGCTACAATAGTATAGTAGTAGATAAAACTAAATTAAATATTAGAGTTGATTTAAAATTAAATTATTTTTGTAAAAAAAAGAATATAGTAAAAAATAAAAATATCTGGTTAAACATAGTTAAAAATTTTTATAAAATAAAGCTATTTTGTTATAACTTCACTAACTAGCTTGTTGCAGCCTTCTAATATGGAAAATAGCCTTAACTAGTAAAGCAGACCACACCTAGATACCCAATAGAGTAGCTGGGTAATATCAAATCTACAACTTAGATAGTTTAGTATGTTTTTATATATATGCTTTGATCTAATAAAGATATTGACAAGGCTCCCAAAATATTAAAAAAAAATTTATAGTTAAAAATACAATGACTATTAAAAATATTAGAACCTGCAGTATCGATCCTTCCTACTAACTACAAAACTACAATTTTCTCGATATCTTCTCAGTGTGATCTTCCAAAATGGTTGTGAAACCCATGCATTTTCAGTTGAAACCTGATCTGATGTCTCTAATAAGTTCGTGATCTGAACATCTCTGCCTGAGATACTTGCATTGCCTGTCAAGATCTTCTTTCTGCTTCTCTGAGCTGACCCTTGCATAACAGATCTATTCATTTATCCTTGATTTCCAAACACTTCTTTATATCTGCAACAGAATACAGCCTGTTACCATTAGCTGTTCTGATGCTCGATCTCTTTCCTTAGTTGTTCCACTTTCTGATGAAAACTCGTATGTTTTTCGAATTTCTTGTGACACCTCGATATTTTTTTGTTGCTCAAATATCTGAAAATTGGAATTAATTAAAAAACAAAATGAAATACAGTACAGATAGCATAGCCCCGACAAATAAATTTAACTTCAAAATACTAAACCTTATTCACAAAAAACAATAAACCAAAAATCTCTTCGTAAGATATTAAAAGCATTCAAGCTAAACATCTTGATGGTTCAAAATTTTTTTAAAATAGTAGAGAATTGAAGTCAAGGCAATTGTATAATTAAACAAGCAATTTGACCGCTTAAAAGATACTATTAAACAAGCACATTTGCCACTTTATACACTAAATTTGACCACTCTATATATTAAATTGACTACGTTAATAATTTGGCCACTTTATGTTAAAATTTCAGTACCATTTATATATATATATTATATGGCTGCTAAAAATTTTCATTTGTAGGGACTAGCGTATAATTTCTATATTCTGATGTATCAAAAAAGATGCGGGCATCGGCGCAGTAAATTGCAATAGGTATCTTTTGTTCTGATTTACACGCCATCACATTTGAATGAACTTGCCTTTTTTGTATGTAAAAAATGTGGCGTAATAATTTTATAAATTGCAAATCACAAAGCCTCATTCTGCATATCGATATTTAATGACAAATTTTTGGTCGGTCTCGTTTGTTTTAACTAATAAACGATGTCACAACGCGACGAACCACTTTTGAAAACCTCTATTAATGAAAATACATCTCCGCTTCACAACTCTAGTGTGATTACAAAATTTCATCCAATTTCTCATACCCTGATAACGATTACGCAACTTATCTTATCAACACTTTGTCTTTTATATATCCCTTCATCAAAACTTTTGGACGATCCTGTAAAATGTTTGAATATCACTACAATTACCTTATTTTTTGTGCAGTTACTAATCGAATCAACTAGGTGGTTATTATATTTACAAGGAGATGGGATTGAAACAAATCAATCTGTAAAAGTTATGTTTAAGAATTTAATAGAAAATAAAGGCAAGGTATGTTTACAATATGTATACTTTATTGTGTTATTTTTTTTGGTGCATTATGTTTGGTGAAGATTACTAATGAATCATCTCGAAAAAATAGCATTTTGCTCATGCGTTATGGATAACCTTATTTGGTGCATTCATGTTTCATTTAATAGCCGTCGTTTTTGGTGCTCCTGCAATTGAGTAATCTTTTTTCGATTTTTTATTTTTTTTTTTTGTTATTTATTAATATCTACAACGTTCGCTTTATTCTATTAGTGATGTTCAAAATACTTGGTTATTTGCGATTTATATATCGCTTTTGGCAATCTATCCTCCTGCCTATGCCTTCAAAAATCATGGACCTATTTGGGCACGAGTGTTTTCTGATGGAAGGTATACTTATTTCTCAGATTAGATTATTGAATTATTTCTTTTATTATGATTCAAACTTTGTTGTTTTTATAAAAAGCCCGGAAAGTATTCCAGAAAAATTAATTTATTATACTACAGTATCTACAGTTGTTGGTGCTTGGTTAGGTGCAATTGTTATTCCTCTGGACTGGGACAGACCTTGGCAGGTTAGTTTAATTATTGGCATTCTTTTTATATGAGAATTCATCTGTATTTTTGCCTTTAGGTGTGGCCAATTCCTTGTGTAATTGGTGGATTTATTGGTCATGGAATTGGAAGTATTATATCATTACTTGTGTGTTGTTTTGGTGATGAAGATGATACCATACAAAAAAAGCGGAAATAAAATTTTTTCAAATTTATTTTGAGTTAAATCTTTTATTTATTAATAAATATATATCACATAATACTGTGTATTTTAGATATTATTTTTGCCCAATTTGTTAGACATAAAAATATAATTTCAATAATTGCATTTTACATTATTTAGATATTTATATTACAAATCCTAAACATACCTTCTTTTAAGTCATATATAGATATGTTTAAACGGTATAATTAAAAAAAATTATAAATTTTTACGCGCTTTAAAACCCAAATTGGATTGAGTTTAAACCGAATTTAAATCAGATTGCTTGCAATATAATTTTTAACCGGACAAACCGAGTTCAACCTCTATTTAAACAAAACAACCACATGTTTTTAAAAAAAATTTATTCTATACTTTAAAATACTAGTAAGGTTATGCAAAATTAATTGGTTTTTATTATCAGACTGGGTCAAAATTTTAAATTTATCAAAATTAGTATTGTTTATTTATCAGAAATAATAGTTAATCTGAACGTTGAGCTTTGTAATCTATCACATAATTCTCTTAGTAATATATAGTATAATAGTCAGAAAAGATGTTATATTTTTTGATATATGAGCATTAATATATAATAAAAAGAAAACTATGATTAACCGGAGGGGAAATTACCGGTTTGTATAACATGTAGATCAGTATCAATTAAATAAATAAACAAATTTTACTTCTTTTAGTTTAGGGTAAGAGTCGACCTATGATTAGGGTTAGAGCAGGGCATAAATTATATGCAAAATTTAGCAAGGAATTTTTTTTGTTAGAACCCAAAAGGGGGTTTCATAAGCGAATTTTTGAGATAT